TTAATTTAAGAATTTAAGAATTCTTCAAGGGTAATCCTGGACATTTTGAACACATTACATATGTTCATTGTACCTACTTTTAACAAGTTAACTTGGATAAAAGAGGCTACCACTCTGAACAAATATCTTGGGCACATGTTTAGAGTTAAAAAAGGATAGCCTTAGTAAGAGTCTAGTCCTTCAAGGAAAAGTTCTGGCCCACACAAGGTCAAATTTGGTTTTTGAAGGGAACAAAAGAATTACTTCGACATTAATAAAAAGAGTGGACTTTCAATTAAGCGGTGTTCTAATTTTAATGCTAATTTGAGGGTAATTAAGATGCAATATAAATATCCCTAATAACTGTATCCCCAAAACCTCAAAAGCAAAGAGGGAGGACAGACTAGGATAGGGTGTCCTCTCTTTCTGACATCTCTATGGCATCACTTTGAAGGGGAAAATATACTTCCCTGGTAGCCTAAGCAGCCAAATGAATCCTGGGAGAGACCAACAGTCTGACAATACTATTCATACCTTTTTTTCGTCTTTTTGAGACAGGGTCTCCCTGTAGCCCCAGCTGGCCTGGAACTATGTAGACCATGATGGCCTCGATCCATGGGATACATGGATGAAAGGCGTACCACCACGCCTGGCTTTTTTTTTTTTTTAAAAACAAGTCTTAAAAGTCTACAAATACTTAACAAAGAAATGAGGAAAGCTACCATATGCAGCCTTGATCCTTACTTTTGAAGGGAAGGGTTCACAGAAGCCTTTAAGAATCTGAAGAAAAAAATGAACATTCTCCCCATGGAAGAGCAGATTCAAACATTTTTCTGTTTATGACTTCAGATCTGAATCCCAGATTAGGTCTTCTAGAACATGGCATTATGGCATAATGAGAGTCAAACACCAACAAAGAGGGGTTCAAAGAAAGAAGGACAGGCGCTTATTATTCCAGCTACCCAGAATTCCCAGAAAGCCAAGTCCACAGGAAGTAAAGGGCTTCTAACCTAATTCCTTCTCTAACCACCCTTCTCTTGTTGACAAGATGAAATAGAGGCAACTCTCTGCCCTCTGCTTCCAAGAATAATTCTGCTCATTTGGTCACTAAGTGATCCAGTCTCAGAAATTAATACAGTGCAGATGGCTAAACTACTTACTGTGAAAAAATGTCTCCATGGGAGCTCTGGTGACCATCTTTCAATCCTTCCTCACCGTAAGTATCATATTGTTTCCTTTTGTCACTATCTGACAGAACCTGGGGATAAACACCAGTGGAGGTAAATGATGTCCTTGGTAATATTCAGCTAAAGTACATTCATATTTATTGCTAATTTTCACTCCAGACTTGAGGGTTCCAGACTTCAGAAAAATATAGTTTTCATTATGTATGGCACTAGGCACACTTATAAAGCTGTTTTCTTTGTTTTTTTTTTGAGACAGTCTTCTACGTGGCCCAGGCTAGCCTCAAACTCATGCTCATTCTGCCTCAGCCTCCTTAGTAGGATTACAGGCATGTACTACCATGCCTCCTAATAGACACATTCTTTGCTGCACTGTCTATTCCACATTGCTTAATTTATGCTTTTCACTTAAAGTTATCAAACCTCCACTAGTCATTAAAAATTGTATTTACACAATGTGGCTGTGAAGGTCAAGAAGGTACCAGGAAAGAGGTGAGATGGAGTTCTCAGGCTCACTTCTAGGTAATTTAAGGTCAGAGCTTGTTTTGTCAGCATGATGCTACATTACGTCGCTAAACTGTAAACTAGATATGACTATGACACATTGCCATTAGTGACAGAAGCACTAAAATAATCAGCCTTAAAACAGCTGGATCTAGAAGTCTCCCTCAAACGCGACCCCTGCAACACTACCCATTAGAAGACTGCCAAGTCCAGGGAGTAGGACAACATGTCCTCTAGTAAAATCTATAGTTAACATTTTTATATTTCTTTTTTCTCATGGTCTGCTACGTGTAGAAATCCATTTGTAGAAAAATGCTAGCTGCCTTTAGGTGAGTGCTGTGTGTAAGTCTGTGACATCCTGAGCTCAAACAGTAGGGAAAATACTGAGGGACTGCTCTACGAACGCTCCTTATGCTAGTTTCACTGCTTGGAAAAAATTTTCAAGCTTTAGAAGTTTTAGAGAACTATATATACAGTCGTGTCTGTATGCTTTCCCACTGAACTCACTGTTTAGGTGATCCAGAGTGTAAAGAAAAACTGGCTTCCACGCACTTAAAAGTTTGCTTTCAACATGTAAAAAGAAAGAAAGGTATGGGGGGGGGTTTGAATGAGAACAAAATATAATTATATATATGAAAATTCCATAATGAAGCCCATTACTTTGTATGCTTACTTAAAAAGATGAATTTTAAAAAGAAAAAAAGTTCTTTTCTTTATAGTAACCTGAAGCATATACATATATAAACCTTTGAAATCAGATAGCTTTAAAATTTTCCTTTGGATATGTGTAAACTCCTCATTGTTGCATGGGCCGGTCTCAAGCCCTGAGCTTGAGCAATCCTACCCCAGCCTCCCGAGTAGTTAGAACTACAGGTACCTCTCACTATACTCAGCCTACTTTTAAAGGGAGGAAAGGCAGGGTTAGGGTTCTTAGCTGAATAATCAATTAACATACAAACTCTCAACTACTTAAAAGCTATCAGTAATCAATCTTGGCCTAGTAGAAAAAAAAAAACCCTTTTATTTGCTAAAGAGTCTTTATACTATATTAACAGTCTGATTTGCCAACACTAATTTACCTAGGGGGAAGGTACCTAGGCCTGAATGATACAAAGAAAAAAGGAAATCCGAAGTAAAGCTAGAAAGGTTGTTAAAGTTAATGAACTTCAGTTTCCATAAATGAGATACATATAGCTTGCTACCATGGATAAGGAACATGTAGATTCATTATCATGAGTACTGTAAAGCACTTGAACACAAAACAGTGTAAATTCAGCTTCCCTAGAAAATACTTAATTAAAAATAAATTTTTATGTATGTGAGTGTTTTCCCCACAGTAAGTGCATCATGTGCATGCAGTGCCCACAGAGGCCAGAAGAGGGCATCATATCCTCTGGAACTAGTTATGGGTGGTTGTTAGCTGCTATGTGAGTTCTCTTAAGAGCAGCCAACACTCTTAACCACTAAGGCATGTCTTTAGAAAATATTTTTCAGTACTAGGTCCCTGGCAAACAATGGGACTATTTGTGGGAAATATTACAAAATATGGAATCTATATTTCACAAGAAACAAAACGTTATGAATCATCTGAAGGGCCACAAACCCTCTGAAGTTTACATATGGGCCCAGGTGAAGAATTTCTGTCAGGGGGCTGGAGAGATGGCTCAGAGGTTAAGAACACTGATTGTTCTTGCAGAAGACTCAGGTTCAAATCCCAGCACCCACATGGCAGCTAACTGTCCGTAACTCTAGTTCCAGGGAATCCAACAGCCTCTTCTGCCCTCCGCAGGCACTGCATGACATGAGTGCACTTACTTACATGCAGACAATACACACATACAATTAAAATAAAAATAATAAAATTAAAAAAAAAAATTTCTGTCAGGGGGGCTGGCAAGGTGGTTCAGTGGTATAGAGAGCTGCTTTGGCAGAAGACTCAAGTTTGGTTCCCAGCACCCATGCCAGCTGGCTCACAATAGCCTGTAACTCTACCTCTGGCACGTCTTCTGGCTCTGAAAGCACCCGAACACAAGAGGCATACATACACACGTGTACATAAATAAAAAATAAATCTTTAAAAATAATTTAAACATGAAAAGGGCAGGAAATGGATCTACAGGCAATGAATACACTGGCTAGTACAATCTGGGAACAAGTGCTGCTTCTCACTTTTACCTGTCTGTTTTCAGTAGTGATCATCTGATGACAGATTTCTCTGCATTCTACAGTTTTTTCTAATACAAGCTTTGATTCTATTTTTTTCTTTTTCTTGGCTCACCTCATAAGCAGCACCCAGATCCTGGAATTTCTCCTGGGCTTGGGGATCATCAGGATTCCGGTCAGGATGAAGCTGCAGGGCTAGTTTCCTGTAGGCCTTTTTAATATCCTTTATAGATGCACTACGAGGCACTCCCAAGATCTTATAGAAATCTCGCCTGGGAAGAGAAGTAGAGAAGACGTCATCAAGACTGCATCACACTTTGAATTTACTTTTTAAATTCGTTGACAGTCTCACATATGTATACGATGTATTTGGGTCATTTTCACCCCTTATAACCCTCTTCCACCCTCCCTTCTACTCATGCTGGACCCTTCCTTCTTCAACAAGTTTCCTTTCTTCTTTCATGTCTTTTTTTTGTTTGTTTGTGACTCACTGAGTTTAAAGAAGGCTACTTACATGAGCAGGGGCAACTTACCAGTACCTACTTCCCTGAAGTAAAATGACTCCCCCTTCACCCAGAAACCATCAACTGGCAATAGCTCCTTCTTCGGGGAAGGATGAATGTATTCATTTTTATTTTTAAATTTTATGTGTATGAGTGTTTTGCCTGCATGTATCTAAGTGCACCAGTGTCACTCAATGCCCATAGAGGCCAGAAGAGGGTGTTGGAGCCCCTGAAGCTGGAATATGGACAGCTGTTAGTTGTCATTTGGGTACTGGGAACCACACCTGGGTCCTCTGCAAGAGAAGCCCATGCTCTTAACCACTGAACCATCTCTCCAGCCCCGTATTACATTTTTAAAAGTGAAAGTATCCCCCCCTTTACATTTAGGTGTACTTATAAGCAAGTAACTATAATAATGAAGATATATATAACAAGTGCACATATATACAAAGAATGACTTAAAAAGGGATAGGTCAGAATTCACAATGAGTCTCATACAGTGAAGTAATCACAGTAAGACAGGAATTTTGGCCACCAGAACTTATTCTGAACATACATTCTCTCAATAATGGGGCTAAGAAAGTCACAAAATAGAGAGATTGATATAGTATGGATAGTAATTTTTAAATGTATAGGGAAAATGCATTGGGGAACTAAGACCCAGGTGATATATGACAGAATATTTTTCAAATTATTTTATAGTCTGGGGATGTGGCTCAGCTAGTAGAGTGCTTGCCTTGCAATTATGAAGCCTTGAATTCAGTCTCCAGAATCAGAAAAACTGGGCATGGTGGTACATGCCTATAAACCCAGCACTCAACACAAAAACTGGGCTTGGTGGTACCTGCCTATAATCCCAGCACTCAGGAGGTTGGGATTACTTTATAAAGCCTTAGTCACACTTTAGAAAAATAATTTAATTATTTTAATCATTCAGTAAGTTTTTTTGGTTTGTTGGTTGTTTTTTCAACTAACCATGTAGCCCCGTTGGCCTCAAGTTCACTATGTACTGGAAGTTACCCTTGAACTCTTGATCCTTTTGCTACTTCCCAAATGCTGACATTATAGGCATGTGAAACCATATCCAGCCCAGCTACACACAAGACATTCCCTGAGAAAATAGGAGTTTGTCTCTGCCTCATCTGACATCTCATGAGAAAGGAACTCAGGTTAAATGCAGAGTGAGACTTCCTTAACATGCTTCAGGAGAGGATGTATAAAATACCTTAGGGAAATCCACTACATTTTAAACTAATTTAAAAAAAGGGGGGGGGTGGAGGGAGGGTTGGAGAGAAGGCTCAATGGTTAAAAGCTCATATTACTCACACAGGACTGGAGTTTTAGTTTCCAGCACCCACACTGGGCAGCTCACAACTGCCTGTAACTCCAGCTCGAGGAACCTCTTCTGCTGCGCGCGCGCGCACACACACACACACACACACACACACACACAGATACACATGATTAAAAATAAAATAAAATCCCTAAAAAAAAGAGAAGAGTCTGAATACAGGTACCCTGTATGCATGGGCAATGCTTCCCCCAGAAGATATGGGTTATTATATGAAACCTCAGTGTCAGGCATAAGATACTTTCCTATGAGTTACTGGTCAGGGAGACCCCCCCCCAAAAACAACAACAAAGGCTATTATCATTACTCTTGGTTGCCCATTATAATTAGATGGAGAGATCCTATTGCTGAAAATAGCACCCTTTGGTTGCAGGACACAGAAAAGTCAAGCTGGAATTAAAAATTTCCTCCCTGCTGGCTAGCTTTCATAGTGTCAGAAGGTGCTCTACAGGCCATTTGGAGAGAAATGTTGTCAATGTTGGCAAGATATGCCCATTGGTACAATAGGGACATCAAGGTTATGGGGGCAACCAATCAGTTTCTGATTGGAATTGAAGCCTGCTCCACAGAAGGGAATTTATACCTAGTACTATAAACCTACTCAAAAGTCCACAGCTGGGGAGGTCATAGGCCCTGGGGTTGGGAGAAGGACATATTACTGTTCAATTATATGGACATATTGTCAAACTGCCTTCTAAATATTTATGGTTAAACTCATAGATTAGTGCTGTTCTCAGTCTTGGCCAGAGAAGCTTCTTTTTACAGTGGGTAGCAGTTTATGCAGCAACATAACTGGTCAAAGTGTACAGAATGATTGTTGAGTGCTCAGACCTAATGGGGACATTTCACACACACACACACCCCTCAGGGAACATTGTGGAAGACAGGGCAGAAAGAATGTAAGAGGTGGAAGATGGGGAGGAGTGCTTGCTGTGGAATAGTGTCTTCTGAACAGGGCATGAACATTGCACTCATGAACTCACTGCACTTATGGATACCTGCACAAGATCAAGTCAGTAAGATCAGTTAATATTCTAGCAGGCAGCACTAATTAAACTCAGTGGGACACACACACACACACACACACACACACAAACACAAAGCAGGGGACATGAAGGTATGATGGGGATGTGCTGATGTGTTGGAAAGTATCTAGGGGGGAGTGGGAGGGAAGAATTCAGGGTTGATATGATCAGGATACAGTGTATACACATAGAAATTGTCAAAGAATAAAAGATTTAATATTTTAATATTTTTTTTTTGCAAATTTCATACAATACATTTTGATCACATTTAGAAACCTTCCTCTCTCTGCCCCTCATTTTCATACATTCTGTCTTGTATGTCAAGGTTTATTGAACCAAGTTTATGCCCCCAAATGTCACTCGATGTGCATCTATAAAAGATTTTTTAAAAAAAGAAAAATTAAAGGTTAAGTGATAGCTCAGAAAATTAGAGGGAAAAGATGGCTGGCATAGCTCAGTATCAACATTACAGTCTCTAGAGATTACTTTAATAATGACTGGAGTTTAAAGCTACAGTACAAAATCATAGTATAAAGTTAAAAGCTATATCAAGTTATATAATTTAAAACTACAGTGTAAAGTTGCCTAGGCTATGGTGAGAACCTATCTCAATCTCCAACTCCAAAATTTTATAATGATATTTTATTAAACACCTTGGGTACTTGTGGCTTAAAGTGTAAATATTAAGAAAATCAAACTAAGAAAAAACAAGAAAGTATGTGGGAAAC